AAAAAAAAGGAGGAGTAAAAAAATACAATGAACTAGAACAAAATAACATGAAAAATCAATAAAACTAAAACTATGTAGTTCTGTAAAAAGAGCAATATAATTAATAAACCTCTAGAAAGATTGACAGAAACGACCAATATTAGGAATGAAAGAGATACTGCTATAGACCAGAAAACATTAAAAGGACTCTGAGGAAATGGGGCACTAACAACCCTCTGCTAGTTAGATGAAATGAATCTATTCCTGGAAAGCCACAGATGAAAAAAAACTTAGCTAAAATAAATTAGATAGCCTGAGTAAATTCTGTAATTATTTTTTAAAGTTCACCCATTGTTTAAAATCTTACTGACAAATCCCATAAAACATTTTAAAGAGACTTAAATTCTACAAATCTAGACAGGAGAATCACTTCCAACTCATTTTATAAGGCCAGCATTACCCTGATACCAAACCAAGATAAAATGCAAAACAAAACAATAACAAAAAACTAGGAACTAATATCCCAAAGGAACAGACACAAAAATCCTCAACAAACAAATTCAGGTATATAAGTGAAATAATATTCTATGACCAAGTTTGAGAAGGGGCAAGATAAGAGCTAGTTCAAAATTTAAAAGTCAATATAATCCTCCAAATTATCGGTCTAAGGATAAGACTGTCAGCTGATTTCTGAAAGGAAACTTTACAGGTTAGAAGAGACTGTCCAGAAATATTCAAAGTGATGAAAATCAGGAACCTACAGCCAATATTGCTCTACCCAGCAAAGCTATCATTTAGAATGAAAAGGCAGATAAACAGCTTCCTTGACAAGAAAAAGCTAAAGGAGTTCACCATCACCAAACTATTATTTTATGAAATGTTAAAGGGACTTATTTAAGAAAAAGATCAAAACTATGAACAATAAAATGGCAATAAGTACATATCTATCAACAACTGAATCTGAAAAAACAAAGAAAGCAAACAAGAATAGAGACAGAATTATGGATAAGGAGAGTGTTTTGATGGTTGCCAGATAGGAGGGGAGTGTGGGGAATGGCCGAAGAGGTGAGGGGATTAGGAAGTACAAATAGGTAGTTACAGAATAGCCATGGGGATATAAAGTACAGTATAGGAAATGGAGCAGCCAAAGAATTTACATGCATGATCCAGGATATGAACAAAGTTCTAGGGATGGCCTGAGGGAGCGGGGGTGCTGAGTGGAGGGGGACAGAGGGAAAAAATTGGGACAACTGTAATAGCATAATCAATACAACATTTTTTAAAAACATGATTTAATCAATCAATACCAAAAAAGAATTTTGAGAACATTCAAATCCATTCACGAGAAAAATCCTATTAAGTAGGAATTAATAGATGAGAACTTCCTCAACCTATACTGGTCATCCATAAAAACCTGTAGCTAATGTAACTCTTAACAGTGAAAGACTTAATGCTCTAGAAACTAGCATCCAGAGCAAGAAGGGATGTCTGCCTTCACCTCTTCTATTCTCTCAAGTACAATGAAGCAAGAAAAGGAAATAAAAGACCTATAGACTAGAACAGACAAAAATCACCTGTTCTCATTTGTGGTTTATGCAGAAAATACCAAGGAATAAACAACAAAACTGCCTACCACTAAGGAGTTGAACAAAATCACAGGATACAAAATCAACAAACAAAAATCAAACGTATTTCTGTGCACTGGCGGTGTGTAATTAGAAACCGAAATTTCAAAAAGTAATCATGTACAACAGCTCCAGGAAATGAACGTTAAAAATAAATGTAACAAAAGATATAAAGGTTCCATAAGCTGAAAACCACAAAACGCTGATGACTGAAATCAAGAAGTCCTCAACACAGACACACTCTATCTCCATGGCATAGAGGGCTTGCATGCTGGTCCAATGAAAACCCCAGAAGAACGTTTTGTACAATATAGACTGATTTGAAACTTTGTATAGAAAGGCAAAGAAACTGAAAATAGTCAGAACAATTTCAAACAAGAATTACATTGAGGGAACTATGCTACCCAATTTTGACTTATTATAAAGCTGTAATTGTCAAGGCGGTGTGGTATTGACAAAGGGACACAGAGATCAATGGGACAGAATGGAAACCAAAAGACCCACATAAAGAATAACTGAGTTTTGACAAAAGTGCAAAAACAGTTTAATGGAGAATGGTCTTTTCAACAAATGATACAGAAACAAATGGACATCCATATGCAAAAAATGAACCCCCTATATTTTACAGCTTATACAAAAAATAACGTAAAGTAGGTTACAAATCTAAGTGTAAAACAAAATTATAACTCTTTTAGAAGAAAACATTGGAAAAAATCCTTATAACCTGGGATTGTGCAGTGTTCTTAGACATTAACACCAAAAGCATGATGAATTGGACTCCATCAAAACTGAAAGCATTCACGCTTCAAAAGACACCATAAAGAAAGTTAAAAAAAATATAATAATGCAAATCTCATTTCTGATCAGGGACTTGTATCCAGAATATATTTTTTAAAAACCTCTTAAAATTCAATTAAAAAAAAACAGATAACCCAATTTAAAACTGGGAAGGATCTGAATAAACATTTCCCCACAGAAGATACACCAATGGTAAATAAGAAGAAAAGATGCTCAATATAGTTAGTCAGGGAAACCCAAACTGAACCCACACTGTAGTAGCACTTCACACCCACTGATACGGCTGGAATCAGAAGTCACGTAACAAGTGCTGACAAAGACGTGGAGACTGGAACTCCCACATGCTGCTGATGGGAATGTAAAATGGCGCTGCCACATTGGAACAATCCAGAAGTTCCTCAAGGTATTAAACATAAAGTTTCCACATAACTTGAAATTCGACTCCTATGTAAGAAACAAAAATATAACCTGCATATAAGAACTTGTGCTTGAATGTTTATAGACAGCATTACTCATAATAGCCAAAAACGTAGAAACCTCCCAAATATCCACCAACTGACCAATGGATAACCCACGTGTGCTAGTACACACACAAAAATAAAATTAATGTACTGGCATATAACGTGGGAAAAAGCCTCTAAGCTATTATGCTATGCAAAAGAAGCCAGTAAGCCCCAGACCACAGATTATGACTTCACATATGTGAAATGTCCAGAGCACGGAACTGTAGGAGATGGAGAGTAAATTAGTGGGTGCTTGAGGCAGGAACTGGGGTGAGGATAATGGCTGAAAGGTATGGGGTTTCTTTTGAGGTAAGAAAATGAAAATTGACCATGGTGGTTAAATATGTGACTACACTAAAAACCACTGAATTATACACTTTAAATGGGTAATGTGTATATAGTATGTAAATTATATCTCAATATAACTTTTTAAAAAAGATTACTCATGATTTCATTTATATGAACTCCTCAAAAAGACAAATCTAACATGAAATAGTTTTTGGAATTGAACTCTTCAATCTCCTGATTTTCAAGGAAACGTGTGTCTCCACATGTTTTTTTTTATTTTAATTATTGTTCAAGTACAGCCCACCCCTCCATCTGCCCTTTACCCCCATTCCAGCCCACCCCTCCATCTCTACATGTTAAAATTCACAAAACTACAAACAAAAAGAGTTCATTTTACTGTATGTCAATTCAAAACATACAATTTTTTAAAATGTCAAATGAGAAGCCAATCAAAAGAAAAAACACCTCTTCCCCAACAATTCATTCCTGAAGTGAATGGGTAACCTGAACGAGACAGGGATCTGGCCGAAGGGTGTGGCTGAGCTGAAGGGGCCCAGAGAGGGGGGTTAGGGTCCAACAAGGTGTGAAGAATATCACTGCTTGGCATAAGGTGCTGGAGCCTAAACAGAGTGAGGAAGGCATTCATTCATGGGGTCACAGCCTAGAACGGGGAACCTAATGTATGAAGGATCATAGAATCCACTAGTGTTCAAAGGAGTTATATAGAAAGAAGACAAAAATGACCCCATGAGATTAGAAATGCAAGCTGAAGAGTGAACTCACGGTTTCTGACACATATACAGAGGTAAATGTATGCACTTCACACACATCAACAGCAACTGCTCACTAGCACACACACCTTGACCTCGAAAAGCCGTTCTCTACTAATGAGAACCAGGATTCCTTGAAAAAATTGCTGATTCTTGAGCTAGGACAGGAAAAGCATAATAAGCCTGGTATACTGTGTGACAGATTACGAAATTGCTTAAATTATGATGGGGACATGTCACAGGACATAGAAGGTTCCTAGAAGGGTCTGACACTGACCAAATCTAGAAAAAATGTTCAGCATCGAAGTATTAGGAATAAGAGATTATAACCCGCTGAATGAAGCAGGAAATTATGACTCTGTAAAGATGCAATAAAATGAAAGTGTGATGAAAACCAAGGTAGTATTTTCAAACTACCTTCCACAAAGTACTTAATTATAAACACACAAAGTGTGTTTTACAATGAAGACTGGCAGACACCACTTTAAGTAATCACCATCAGCAAAAGAACAAAGTGAAATTCTTAACTCATGATAGTACACAGTAAGAACACAGCATCACTTCTTTAATACTCCTGCCCAAGATGCAAAACCTGGCTCTAATAATGAAATACCAGACATAATTCAAAAGGAGGAATGCTGTTTTTAAAAAAACTAGCCTGAAATCTTCAAGCTAGCCTGAAATCTTGGCACTTGCCAAGGTTATAAAAGTCAAGGAAAAATCAGGACTTGCCCCAGATTTAAGCAGACTGAAGACACGCGACAACTAAAGCAAAGGCATGATTCTGACTGCACCCTCTTGCTGTAAAAGACTTGATTGGGACAACTGAACTTGAATGGAATGAAGGTCTGAGGATCCGCTGGTCATGTGTCAGTGCTTGCTCCTGGACTTCAATGGTTGTGCTGCAGTTACATGTAAGAGCATTTCCTCCCCAGGAAGGACAAGCCGAGGTATGCAGAGACAACTGAGTGTCATGTCATCAACCCACACACAAATCGTTCGGGAAAGTAAAAAAAAAAAACAAACTCTGCATCTTCTAACTTTTCTGTACATTTAAAATTGTTTAAAATTTATTTTTAAATTAAAAAGGAGATAAAAAGGATAAAATAAAATGTAAAGACAATTCTCACGTCTATGTCTGGATCACTGAATACCCAAATGATGTCACCCATTTATATCACTGACCATGACCTGGTTTTTGTCACTCATAGTGCACTTGCCCAGTAACCACATTCACCTCACCTAATGCTTCGTCAGTTAACTGTTTAATTTTTGGACATAAAGTGATCTCTCAGGAAATAATACACTAATTCAGAGACTTTCATTAACTGTTAAAATTAACTTACTCAGAATATATTTGTAGATTTTTTCCTTTTCTAAATTTTTTCTCAGTAATATAATTTCCTTGTGTGAACTGGTATACTTAGACAAAGGGGTACACAATTCCTATTTAGAAAAGTTTAATAGTATTATTCTTGCATCACACTTATTAAAAGAAAAAACTTAATTTTCCCTGAAGGCAACCTGTCATTTCATATGATCTATAACCTGTTTTTGTATTAAAAATATAGATTAAATATGAAACTAGCAAAATGCAGCATTTGAAACTTAATGCTGAGCAAAAACAAGTCCAAAAAAAGTTACCATTATATCAATAGAATATTCCCCACAGTATTTAAGATGTTTCCTATGTAAATCATATTTGAATGCAATCTTGAGAACCATATTTAAATGTATTTTGCAGTTAGTTAACTGGAGGCACCCACATTCTTCTTCCCCGACACAATCTGTTCTTTGACCAAGCTGGCAACACCTGCTCGAGTCCACGGAACGCAGCGAAACAGCAGCAGCTACTTCTCAAGATTCGAGAAATCTGGTCCACCTTTCGTGTAGTTTCCTGAGATTTCTGCTCCGCTGAAGTCAAAACCAGGATTCTAAAAGATAGGAAAAAATTATGATAAAACTTATAAGGAAAAATACAAGTAAACCAAAAGGAAAATGGTAAAAAGATATGAACTGGCAGGTGACAAAAAAAGGAAATCTAAATGGCTAAAAAACATGTAGAAATGTACCAAGCTTCACTGTAATCACCAAAATGGAACTTAAAACTACAAGGTATTTTTCAATTTTCAGACCTACAAATATTTAGAAGATTCAATATATGTGTTGCAAAGTTGACAAGTGTATGGACGAACACATCCGTTAGTATCAGTGTAGACACAGATTTTAATAGCTGGCAATTCTGAGACCTTACTATATGCCAGGTAGGGTTCGAAAGCTACACATACATTAACAGAGTTAATCCCCATAACAATCCTAAGTAAGCATTACCTCAGGCTTTAGTGCTTTTGGAGGGCATTTCATTTATTCAACAAACATTTATTGAGTTCCTACGGTTTGGATGACACCATTAATGTCCTGTGTAATTCAAGAGTCAACAAAGATCCCTGTGTCGGTGGAGCTTACACTCGAACAGGAGACAAATAATAAACCATTCAGTTAGCTGGTGCAGGAGTCAGCAAACTTTCCTATCAGGAGCCAGGCAGTAAGTATTTTAGGTTTTGAAGACTACTACATGGTCAGTCATAACTGCTCGATTCTGTTGTGGCCACTATGAAAGACAATACACAAACGAATGAGCATAGCAGCGTTCCAAAACACTTCACTTCAAAAACAGGCAGTGGGCTGGACTTGACCCATGGACCATAGTTGCTGGCCACTATCTAGTGTATTAAAAGTTGGTGTGTAGTATGTTAACAGTTAAGTGCTATAGGAAAAAAGAAAGAAAGTGGGGCAGAATAAGGGAAATGAAGAGTTTACGGTATTTAAATAGGATGATCAAGACTCAAAGAATGCTCACCGAGGAATGACTTGAAAGCAGTGAAGTCAGGCAAGCTGTGGGAAAAGAGCACTGCAGTCAAAAGAACAGAAAAGCAATGGCCTGACATGTGGAAGGAAGAGCAAAAAGGCCTGCACGCTAGAGCAGAATGACCCAGGGGGCTACTAGCAGGAGAGGAGGTCCAGAGGATCAGGAAGGCCAGACCAGACTGAGCCTTACAAGAGACCTTGTCTTGTACTAGTGTGAAGGGGTTCAAAAGAGAGAAGTGATGTAATCTGCCTTGCACTGCAAAAGGACTGCTCTCACTGCGCTAACTGCTACCTCGAGAGGACTGCAGCCTGGCAAAGGGAGAAGTGAAGAGAACAACTAGATTACTGAAGTAACCTAGACAAGAAGACAGTAGAGGACAGCCAGACCATAGTGGCGGTGGCGGAACCAGCAAGGCTTCCCGACAAAATGGACAGGGTGTAAGAAACAGACAGGAATGGAGGATGATTCCCTAATTTTCTTTTCATTTGAACAACTTGTGTCCAGCAATGAAGATGAGGCTAGACGTAGAACAAACGTGGGAGGGAAGTTAAGAACTTCATGTTGGACGTGTTAAGATGAGTATGTTTGTTAGCCGAGTGGAGCTGCTGAACAGGCAATTGGAGATGCAAGTCCAAAATCCAGGAGAAAAGTCTAGGCTAGAGATACACATCTGGAAAACACTACAGAGATGGAAATTACCCATGAAAATTTTAACACGGTTTTGGTGTAGTAATTCTTCTCCTAAATATCTTAAAGGAATATTTCAAGAGTTTCACAGATAGGAAAGCACAAAATTTGTTTGAAATAGCAGACAGAAATGGGGAAATCTAAATCTTATCAAACAGGAGTACCTAAATATTACAATACCTTCAGACTAGAAAACACCCTGAAGCAGTAAAGAAATAAGCTTTATCTATGTGTACTAATAAGGAAAGAAATCCAAAATATAGTATTAGAAAAGAAACATGACCAATATACACAGTGTGATTCTCCATTCATGTTAAAAACAAAACAAGCCAATATAATGAGATTTAGACAGCGGTGTGGAATGCAGAGATGATGGTGAAGGAAGGACCCTTTCATTTTTTTACACTGTATAAGTCTATACTGATTGAGTTTTTATTACTTTATTCATACATTACTGATTACATTAAATGAATTTAAACTTAGAAATCATGATAATATAAATTCTCAAGAAAATCTGTTAAAAAATCCAATCCATATCTAAAAAGGCCAGTCATTTTTCCAGTCATTTATTTTTTTTATTTTTTTTTAAAGATTCTATTTATTTATTTTTTAGAGAGGGAAGGGAGGGAAAAAGAGAGAGAGAGAAACATCAATGTGCGGTTGCTGGGGGTCATGGCCTGCAACCCAGGCATGTACCCTGACTGGGAATCGAACCTGCGACACTTTGGTTCGCAGCCCGCACTCAATCCACTGAGACCAGTCATTTATTTTTGTTAACTCCTCTACAGAACTTTTATAATTTTTATAATCTCATGAGTTCTAGTTTCAAGAAATATTTCTCTGTTTTTAAGACATTTAATGACACATATTATATAGTTATCTGACTTACTTCTTTCTGGAATCTCTCTAATGTAAGCTTTCTTTGCATTTGGTCTTGCACCCAAGGATCAGCTGCATATTCAGATTCTAGAAGAGAAGTCCAACAATTTGCTGCATCTCTCTTTGTCTTTGTAAGAACAATACGAACCATCTTTCTATCCTCTAAACAAACAAAAATCACAAAGAAATTGGAGTTCATTTATTAAATTATATATTTTCAGAAACCATCAGGTAATCTTGCCATACAATTGTTAACACATTTCTATTACTGTATCTTCCAAAGCTGCAAAGACAAAACACCTAAAACAACAGTGAAAACATACTAAGTTCCAAGACAAAATTAATTTTTAAAGACTCTAAGACTTGTAATAGATTACCCTTACCCAAAGTCCATGTTCCCTCATCAGCTATTGTAGAATCAAAGAGCTTGCCCTGAAAAATAAACATATAAGGTACTAAAAATATAGAAACTTCATTAATTTCATAAAGCCTTCATGATCTAAGACATACCTAATTTCCTATCTAATCCACATATAATTGTCTAATTTGGATAGAACACAGAGATAAAGTTTTACACTATTTCAACCCATGGGTAAGTGCTCAACCCTAAGTTTCCTGCTAGCAAGTGAAAGGGAACCTAGTTTACACTGCTTGGAGTATCTACTTTGACAGAGAATACAGGGTTCTCTGAAGAAAGATCAGGGCTCCTTAAGCTCTTTAAGATGAAGAAATACTACTGATCACTCATTAGCCAAATATGAAATTTGTATCTGAAATGTTTTATCAATTAAGATAAATTACAGGAGCTCTCCTGATGAAATTAATAAGAAATGTCTTTTAAAATAAACTTTAAGCTCTGGCTGGCGTAGCTCAGTGGATTGAGCGTGGGCTGCGAAGCAAAGTGTCGCAGGTTCAATCCCCAGTCAGGGTACATGCCTGGGTTGCAGGCCACAACCCCCAGCAACTGCACACCGATGTCTCTCTCTCTCTCTTTCTCCCCCCCTTCCCTCTCTAAAAATAAGTAAATAAAATCTTTAAAAAAATACAAAATAAAATGAAATAAACTTTAAAAACCGGCTCAATCTCTTTGTTGGGCAGCTTAGCATTAAAAAATTCTTTTAGCATATACTATAGATGACATCCGATTAGTTCCTTCTTTTTAGAAACCCATTTTAAGAAAGAAGCAACATGTAAATTGAACTGAATGCATCTGCTGAAACCTGTTTTGATGTGCTGCTTGCCAGATTTGTTTTAGAAAATATCATGTTAAAAAAGGATACATTTTTTCCTCATGCCAATACTTGTGAAAAAAAATCCTACTGGCATAAATGTACATCTAATATCCGAGAGCGAAGAATTATCGCTCAATTCCCAAGTTATTGGAATTACTAAGGTAAATTTGAACTGTAACCTTAGACCACTGTTCTAGAAATTATCAACTACACAAATATTCAGAAAGGTCATTTGGATCCATGTGATATAAGTCCATGTCTTTCACATGAATCTTCCTTTTCTCAAAGGCACTCAAAGCACTTCTATAGAAAATACTAAGAGCTAACTTATGCTGTGTGGCTTATTACAGATCACAAACTACTCCCAGCTCTTTATTCACATGGATACTATGTTATGCTGAAACTGGTCCTATAAAAATGGTCCTGTAATTACCGAACTTTTTGGATGGACGTTTTTTTGGAGTCACTGAAAATTTCCTGCCCAAGATTACAAAACTAACGGCAGAACCAGGTAACCTACCAGTTTTCACCATGCCATCAAAAATCTTGGGCATGTAATCAGAGAAAGGAATCTAATTTTGACTTAACTGAGTTTAACTATAAAGCTTAACAAGGCAAAGGTGGACCCCACACCCAAAGGGCACTGATGAGAATAAACGGGGTATTATTCCCTTCACACACCTCTTGATCATCTGCTTAACCACTCCAGAAACATGCAGAATTTTTCTAATTTTTCGATGAGAAAAAATTACCTGGCATCAATACCGTCGGTATTCGATATTAGGTGTACATCGAAAAATCACCTGACATCACCCCTGAATCCTCATCCCGTTATCCTTACCCTTGACTTTCTTCTTTGCTTCCCTGTAATTGCCTATTATTTTAGGATTTTTGTGCCTTCCTGCTTGCCGTAACTCTGGTTCTGGATCCCTGTCTGTCCCGTTCGACGCAGTTCCCCCAGCACTTAGGGCGGTGCCTGGAGCAGAGTGTATGGGATATAAATACTTGTTTCTTTAACGCTCTAGTTACAGGGTTCTCAGCTGACGACCCGCTAAGGCACAACAGAAGCAGCTTCATTCGGTTTAGCAAAACAGTCGGAAAAATGGGCTCCCCAAGTTTCCACGTCAACTCAGGACTGGCCCTGGAGATGGGGGATCGGACCAGACCAAAATCAGGCCAATTTTATCGCTCTTTCCGCCAGCCAGAAAAACCCAACGGCCTTCCAACAGTCTTCCTGCGGAAACCGTAGGACTCGGGAATCTGGGGAAGGCGCAAGACCCAACCTGCCGCTACCTTGAGGATCTCGCGGCCACCCACCGCCAGCGCTACATGCCGGCTCTGCAGATCACACCGGATATCCTGGGCGCGAGTGCCTGGCGGCACCTGAATTTCAATGAACACCTCCTCCAAAGTCTGGTACCACTGGCCCCACGGCGTCCCGCAGGGAACCACCCCACTGCGCTCCTCGAACGGGGCCGACATACTCCAGGTGCCTCCGGGCGACAGCTGCACTAAGCGAAATGCGCGCCTGCGCTGACCGTCCACGCTTAGGCCCCGCCCCGGCCGCTCCCCCTGGGTCACCACTCATGCGCAGGAATGTCAGCTGAGGTCTCAGTGTATTTGATTTCCCCTCTTAATGGCTGTTTAGGACACTGTCAGAACCCAATTCGAAGTAACTGACATCCAGAGAAGTTGACATCCAAGGAAGGGTGGGAGAGGGTTGGAACCAATAAGGATGGAACTCACTGCATCTCCACCGGAATGACGCCACAAGCCGACTTCCAAAATTCTCAGATTTGAAGTGCGCTTGCGCAAATGCTACTAGTGCGTTGGTTACAATTGAATAACGCCAGGAATGACTGGGTACGTGCCCCCTTGAACTCACAAGGCATCTAATTGGACGCGGGGAGAGCTTAATGCGCATGCTCTTGGATGTTCCCTTTCTGGATTGGTGTATCCAGGGTTTTGGGTTTTCAATTGGTTAATGTCTAGGTGGGCGGGGGATGAGCTGGGAGATTTGAATTTGAAGTCAGTAAATTCCAAAAGCTGCACTAGGAAGTTGCCGAGGAGCGCTGCTACCCTTTGGTTTCTGGAGCTGTTCGTCAGCATGTCGTTTCCTAAGGCGCCCCTGAAACGATTCAATGACCCTTCTGGTGCGTACGGGGGAAGGAACTGAGGGACGGGAGTTGCTGTCACGCTCCTTGCCCCTTTTGATTCTATGGGAGCGAAATAGGCGGTTTTAGGGCTGGCACGGGGCTCGTTCAGTTGATATTTTGTTTTTGAAACACATGTTATGCATTCATTACATGCCAATTACTATTTAGGATGATAAGGATACAGCAGTGATCGAAGCAAAGTCCCTGCCCCATGCAGCTTCCATTCAGTTGGAGAATGCAGCCCATAACAGTGCTGGGTAGACACTGAAGCAGAGGGCAGGAACGTGGGTGAGGAAGCGCTGGTAACTAGTCAGTGGCCAAGTGCGAAAGGCCTTACTGGTAAAAAAAGAAGAAGAAACCCTTGACCAAGCTTTTTGCCTGAACTTGTGGATTTCCTTTTAGATATTACATTCAGTCACAAAAGAAAGAAGGTTGGTAAAGTCAGCTTGTGGTTGTAAAATTATGGCAGTATCGAAATCACTATCAATGAAGCGATGGCAGCTAGTATTGACGGCGCCCCAAGCAGCCTGCTACATCATCACATAGATTATTAGTTGTGTTTTCATTTCCCAACATGCTGGAGAGGTAATCCTAAATATTATTCATTATTTTACTGATAAAAAGACCGAGACTTAGATTTCCTTAGTGTTACACGACCAAACTGACAAAACTAGTGCATGGAACCGGCCCTAAATATGGTTTTAATTGTTCTCAGCTTGCGTGATTCTGCTTAGTTACCTTCCACCATCCCTTCTTTTACTGGCCCTGACTCCCTTTTGAGAGTGTGCACCCAACGATGAACTAGAACACTAGAATTCAGCATCACTTGTTTGCTGGCTGCTCTGCCAAGTCTAGAACAGTGCTTCTCACACTTTTTCACAAAAGGGTTCCTAAAAACAAAGAGAAAAGATAACCATCACTTCATCCCTACTTTCCCCCAAAGGACATTGACTACAATAGTGGTGGCGTTTCCTTTGGAGTCTCCTGTTGTTTGTTTTGAAATATGTGTTCCCCACTGAAGTTCCCACCCCTATCCCAAGTGAGTAAAACAGATGCTCTAAGATGTGCCACCTTTAATCTGATTTTAGGGAACCTGCTCTCACCCTATTGTTAACTCCATGGCCTTAGCAGGTGTGGAGAGTGAGAAATACGAGGTGGCTAAGGTCGATGCTTTTTGCAAAGTCTGCCTTTACCTTGGATATCCCAGTGAATCCTACACTTCATTTTAATACTCTCTCCTGATTGGAAACTCACTGCCTCTACCCCTTATTGACTACATTTAGATCGGAAAGCTCCTGGGATTGGAATCTTTATGTCAGTATATATACATGATCATTGTTCCAGATAGAGGAAACTTAATTCTGTCCTTGATGTTTTTATGGCCTTTAGAATTGAAAGCAATTGACTTTTAATACTTTTTTGTTTTGTCCCAGGGTGAGAAATAAATTATGTATTTCTGTGTGGGATATATTTTTATATTTCTACACAAAACAGTGCTTATATTTGCCACATGTGAGCACACTGATATTTTCTGTTGTTTCAACTGTTTTAAAAAAATGCTAGTCAGCCCTGGCTGGCGTAGCTCAGTGGATTGAGCTCGGGCTGCGAACCAAAGCATCGCAGGTTCGATTCCCAGTCAGGGCACATGCCTGAGTTGCGGGCCGGGTCCCCAGCAACCGCACATTGATGTTTCTCTCTCTCTCTCTTTCTCCCTCCCTTCCCTCTCTAAAAATAAATAAATAAAATATTTGTTAAAAATGCTAGTCAAGTTATAATAATGAGCCTCTATCATCCTATTTGAAAAACACCAGGGGACACTCGGGTTGCCTTGGAATGGTCAAACTCCGTGTTGTTCCTTTCTATTTGCATGATAGTCTGGACTGAAGTAAATAGCTTTTCAGAGAATAGTATAACAATTGACTCCCAATCAGCTAAAGCTTTATGCCAATGACATTTTTATTACGGTCAGTTCTGAGAGCCAAATCTTACCTTTGCTATGTATAAGCACTCTGACATGCCTTCAGTTTGAGACTCCAGTTATTCACCGGAGGTTATACAATATAAATTTCTGGGGTATAGATATAGTCTATGACTTTATAAATTTTCTGATATATTGGAATTAACCAGGGATGGATCATCACTATAAATTTTCCAGGCTAAATCTTGAGGGCTAAACACTTTTAGTCGCTTCATTTCTAGAATCTGATGGTGGTTGACCTCAGTGACCCTGAGTAGATTCCAAGCATGTTATTTCTTACAGTCAAGGCTTATTAAGAAAGCCCTGTTGCTTGTTCTTATAGGATAATCATCCCAAGACTGTCTTTGCTGTTTTGCCCAGTTGCCCATGTTCTTTGACCCAATTGAAATAAAAGACCTTTCGGAAGATAATGATATTATTCCTCATATCAAATGGATGCTATTTTTACGTTTAAAAAAACAAGGCATTTATATTTATATTACTGACTTTACTTTGGCATTGTAAGTACCATCAGATGAGACATTAATGTTTTACATTTCCTCCAGGTTGTGCACCATCTCCAGGTGCTTATGACGTGAAAACTTCAGAGGTGTTGAAAGGGCCAGTGTCCTTTCAGAAATCACAACGATTTAAAAAACAAAAAGGTAATGGATCCCAAAATAAAACAATGGTTATATGATCTCGTAAGTTTTAAAGTTATGAACAATGGTAATACATTTATTGATTTTATAGTATTTCTAAAAGTGTGAAACTACGTCTATATTTAAATTTTCTTATTTGATGGATTTATAAAAGGGTCGAGTACAAAATAATGCTTTTATCATAGCACTGTTGTATAACCAGGAGAATGAAGCAAGACACTTACATAGATATGTAGTTTACCTTTTGGTATAATTATCTTAGACTTTTGTCAGAGAACATTAGGAAAACTGGGAAAATGTTAGATGTGTAAAAAATATTGTGTAACTCATTATTTGGAATTGTAAAGTCAAGAAAAGAATAATATTATATTGATTGACTAATAGTTACAATAAGAAATTTTGAAATTGTGTTTTGTCTATGGTTCAATTGTTGCAGAATCTCAACAGAATTTTGCTGTTGACAAGGATACTACCTTGCCTGCTTCAGCAAGAAAAGTTAAGACTTTGGGATTAAAGGTGAGGAGCTCTTATGCTCTATCTGGTTTATTAACTATGTCATTGAAATTATTCCCGAAAGGTATTGTATTTGACTAGAATGGGTTAAGTTAATAATAACACCTATCAGTTATAAATAAACCTATAAATTAATGAAACACTATCTTTAGGAATCTAGTAAGCTTTACACTTCTACCTACACCATTATTAAATATATTGTACTTAAATGTGCCCTTAATTCAGAATTACAAAATGGTCTCCACTCAGTCATTTTTATATCTAGATACATTTTATAACACCTAGTAAGCTTTTAAAAATTTTGTGATGCTTTGATTTATTAGTTAACCATCATTTGAGTTGTTTTGTTTTTGTTTTGGGAGAAGGTAAGTAGTAGAAAAGAAAAACAAAAAGCAGTCTAATGCCTAAAAGATGTTTACTATTCAGAAACTGCCAAGGAGTGGTGGGAGATTAAATTCTTATTAGCTTCATGTTATTGCTTGTGCAAGAGCCTACTATTACTGTTTCCATTCATTCATAAAAGCAAGTTGTACTTTCTTAAAGAGATATGCAAATTGATATTTTAATGTGAAAAAAGATTCAAAGTTGAGAAACTGAAGCCATAGGTTGAGCTTAGACTTGTATTTATTTAGTTTTAATTAACATGCCTATGTTTAAAAACTGTTGTTGGAATATTCTGAAATGTTTTCAGGACAGCTTAGGCATGCAGATCTACTTTCTCATCTGTTTTATGAAACCTCAACACAAAGAGATATTTCTGATAAAATTTAGAACCTTGATTGAGATGTGCTGTAAGTGGAAAATACACAGCAAATTTTGAAGACCTGGAACAACAACAACAAAAAAGATCTCACTAATAACTTTATATAATGACCTGTCGAAATAGTATTTTTGATATTTTGGGATAAGTGAAATATATTATTAGAAATTTTACTTTTTAAATATGGCTACTAGAACATTTGAAAATGAATACATGGCTTGATGATATTTCTGTGGTACAGCACTGATATAGACATTCTTGGAGACTGATGTAAATTTCTTGAGTTAAATTTCTTGGAGAAATCATTCTGAAATATCTAATTAATTATAGAATTCAAAAACTCTCTTAAAAAAAACAAAAATATAAACAAGTTTCAAGTTTGTGGAAAACCCCAAAATAATAGTCCTTTCTTAATAGAAAATGCCAGCAGGTGGTCAATTAATAAACATGAAGCTGGCGTGCCTCCTCCCTGCCCGCAACTTAGAAACATATAAAACACAGTTTTCATTTAAGATGTTTATGCATTTTCTTCCATTTTAGATGGCAAAGATAGATATTCTGTTTTGGGTCATTGTCTCAAAAAGGCTGTTGGA